TGACCACTTATAAAAATCACTTATGGAGACTGTAGATAAGTGCCCATCCTCATCCTTTTTCTATCCTCTATGTGAACATTTCAGTGAAAAGCCTTAAGATGGTAAGCAACATAGGTGTCTGAGGGGTAGGCTAGAGCACATGAGAAAGCACATTAATGTGGGGGGGTCCTCATCTTAAGAGTACACCCTAAAGGCAGTGGTAACCAGTTTTTTTGTCACAGAGGCAGTTCTGTACAACACTGAAATGATTTTCCGTATCTATAAAGACACAGAAATATAGACATAAATTTGTGTATGAATGTATACACCTATATCTGAACACATCAGATCTTGGTTTCTAAATAATGTTTTCCATTAAAATGAACAAGGTTTCTTTGGAGAAATAAATAGCTGATTCCAAGAGCAGGGGACTAAGCAAAGTATAAGTCAAGCCTAGAACACCTTCAATGGATTACTGAAGATTGGTGAAATCATGACCAAAAGACACTGACGCTTTTTCAAAGTGACTTCCATAAGCCAAACTTAGGATAATGTGAACATCAAAATAAATAATGATAATAACCACTATAATTCATTGACTAGAATAGAAAATGAAAATCTGATCAGGAATAGGATATTTAATGGTTTCAAGGCTCTTCTCCATAAATCACTCATTAACCTGAAAGAAGCAAGTAGAGAAGTCTAACAAACAACTCAGTCAAGTGATTAAATTTAACATCACTATTTCTAATTAAAATTATGTGTGGAATGCACAATGTATTATATCTGTGGTATTCTTATCAAAGGTTCTTAAAATGAATCCTAATCACATAAGATAATAATAAAGCTAAGTAAGAGGTATTCTATAAAACAACTGCTCTGTAATTTTCAAAAGTAGCAAGGTATTGAAAGTTACAAGAAAACAAAGAAACTCCCCAGATTTGGGAATAAGGAAACATGAGGATTAAATCCATTATACGATTTCTATACTGGATCATTTTGCCATAATGAACATTAATGGAACAAATGACAAAACTTGAATGAAATCTGAAAATTAAATGACAATAATGTATCAATGTTAATATTCTGATTTTTTAAATATTTAGGAGGATGTAAAAATGTAGGAGGATGAAAAAACTACCACCATATTTTAAAAAAGTTGTGACAATCATATTTTCAGAGAGATTATTTGGGAAGTAATACAGTACAGGATACTTGCTATCTACAATAAATATGCCATACTATTTATCAAACATTAAGTATATACCCCAACATAACAACATCTTTGTAAAGTTTTATATAACTGCTTTTTACTACTAAAACATGTACATTATAAAACATTCAGACATGAAAATTAAAATAGGATGTTACACAGAATTACGTTGACATAATTGTCTCTTTGTGTAACACTCCACTTGGAGGTCTCTGGTGAAAATAACTGATCAAAGGGAAATAAGTCTGGCAGACCTATTTAGATAGTCTCTAAAACAGAAGAGACTGAGAAATAGTAAAGCAATGAATCAAGGCAACAGTAGTGTGGAATGGAAAGTAAGAATAAAGTGAAAAAATATTTAAGCAAGAAAACTTTTATAGGACTCAGGAGTGATTTGCGTTGTGAGAGAAAAGGACGGATGATGCTGAGGATGACTCCAGGTATTTTGCTTGGAAGACTAAATGGAAGCAGAGACGGAAGAAAAAAGGAAGAGGTGAGGTGGAAAAAGAAAAAAACACACTTTGCTTTTTCAGTCATATAGCAGTTATTAAGAATGTGACTTTTACAGTGCTGTAGAAAGCAAGAAGGGAAAAACCTACTGCATGGTAACAGGTAGCTATGAATTAGCTATACTGAATACAAGCACAGTGCCCTGCCTAGATGACAGCTTAGTCAAACGCCTCTGAAGCAGAGCCTATGGGTGAGTTTCTATGTATTGTGTGTCCCTTATCTGGCCAATTTTCATGAAATCTAAAATAACTTCCCAAATTTATGAAGAACTCATAAGACCAGGAAAGTACTATCAATGTATTGGATAGAAAAGTCATTCTGTTTTTAGGTAAATCGTTGTTAATTCAGAAGACTTTAGCCCTCAGCAAGTCCATGCGGGGCGGGGGGCTTGTTACAAAAATGATAAATTCCTGCCCAAACATAAGCATTGTTGAGAGTACACATGGCACTATTTTAGAATTTCCCCTAATAAACAGAATATGAACAAAAACTTTAACAGTTAAAGTTTAAAGTGAAGTGCTTGTGCTACTCCCTGAGCTCAATCTCCAGAACTGTACCCTCCCTACTAAAAAGGTGCAATGCATTTTCAAGCAAACACTGAACCATATACACTTGTTTTCTACTCATAAAATAATTTCTATATGGGAGTCAAAGTTTTAAAATAAAAATTGAGACTTCTTGGATTTAACATGACAACCATAAAGGAAAGAATATGGGGACACATACACACACATAAAATAATTTCACATTCATTTTCCTCCACCTAAATTTACTGGCAACTGGTTCACTGCCATTCTAAAGGAACTCGGTATTTTTTCTTAACTTTTCATATCATTAAAATATATAAACATAGAAAGTATACCGACTATTACCTAACAAACGATATTCCACCAAAGCAACCCAGGAAAATAAAATATAAGCAGAGTATATTAACTTTCATTTGAGGGTTCTTTTACACCCTAAGATGATACTAATTTTCTTGACTTGGATGTAAATACAATAATATACATACAGTAGTGGTCTGAATTTAAAACATTTTGCAGCAATTCTAAAGTACAACATCATCTACCAATGCTCTCTTCCGAGGACCCAAGACTAGCAAACATTTTTCAGAAGAAAATGCAAACAAAATTTACTACCTACTGATATTTTAATGCAGGGAAAACTATCTCGAAAACAATCAAAGAAATGAATTGTTTCTTTAATCTTCAGCTTAAGTATTACATTAAACTAAATTTTTCACTGGAAAAAATAAAAGTATATAATAGTCATGTTGGTATAATGAAAACACAAATTCATTTCACTGTTTTAATCCTTACATTAAACCATTCTAACATTCTAAAAAATCAGATTATATTGAAAAGAAATGTCAATCCGGTAGTCAACTACAGATCAAGCAGAATATAACAAATAAAATGTAAGTTTGGTAACAATGTGTCCTCCAAATGGATTGTCATTTGGAGTACAAAGATCAATTCACTGGTAGAGAGGAAAATAAAACAAACTCTTATTCAATGGCTTCTACCCCCACCCCTCACTTATAATATGTATAATATACTCTGCGTTTTATGCAATGCTATATATTTATAGTCATACAGACCATTATAAGAAAATACTCAAAATTATGCAAAAAGACAGTAAATCGTTTTTGTAAAAATTGCTTTTCTAACTTGTTTGTAAGGGGTAGGAAAGAACCTTAAGTAAAAACAAACAAACAAAACAAATGCACTTAGAAAAACTATATACCACCAAGAGTTTCATGAGATAGGTATTTAAAATCTATGTCATTTCACTAATTTTTTTTTCTGGAATGCATTTAAATTTAGGCAGAACCATCTTGATATTAAATATGCTATATCTTAAATATAGGTTTTAATAAAAATGGCTTTAAAAAGTATTACATAATTTATAATCTTGGGCAAAGCCCTTGATTATTTTAATCATTGTATAAAAATACATAAAATTTTAAATAAATTCGGCCTATTTATAAAACATACTTTTGGGGATTTAGCTTAGTGGCACCACACCTAACTCACAAGCACAAGGTTCTGAGTTTGATCCTTGGCACCGAAAAAAGAAAAAAGAAAACAAACTTTTTATTTTCTGTAACCAAATGTTTAGCACTTCTTAAAAACTAAACTTTCAGGAGGCCTCTGTTATAAGCTGGCGCAAATGATTTAAAATAATGATAAAGAGTGTATTTTTATTCTATCATCTGACTTGAATTCTGTATCAACTTTTACTCTAAGACAAAAAAAATCATTTAAGTGGCACTGAAGAAGTCTCAATGTCCACACTACAACATATATATAATTTCCATTGTCTTATTTTAAAAAAACAATTGATTAACAGACCACAATGTCTTCACTGAAATGTATGTAATTTATCTGTCAAATGAGTTAAAGCACGAAAAGCCAAACTACTCATTCATAAACCTTAAAGAAATAAACAAAAATCTTAAACTACAGATCACGATGATTTAAGGTTAAAGTGTTGATAGTCAAAAGAAATAATCTGAGCTAGGGATTTAGTTCAGTGGCACAGCGCCTGCCTTGCAAGCACAAGGTCCTGAGTTCAATCCCTGGTACCCCCCCCCCAAAAAAGAAAGAAATAATCTGAGAGTTTGTTTTAGGGAATAAATTATTGAACGGCCTTTTTAAAATTATATCCTTTCTATTTAGCTAAAATAAAATCAGACATAGGATTTAGGATATGAGAAATAGTTTTTGCTTTGTTTTGCTTTTCAAGGAACAGACCTTATAAAACTTCCATAGTTTATCATTATATTTTTTTTAATTTTTATTTTTTTGGTACTGGGGATTGAACTCAGGACCTTGCACTTGCGAGGCAGGTGCTGGAACCACTGAGCTAAATCCTCGGCACTACCATTATATTTTTAAGACAAATTATCTATAAAATAAAATGGGCTTTAGTGGATAGTTTTTCACCAAACATAATTTCTTATGATAGGGTAATATTTTCTTGCTATTTCCTATTTCTTCTATGTATAAAGTAGTAGAGAGTGACTTTTTTTTTGGCTATTAGAACACTATTTACTCTGCTACTCTGTAATATTCTCTGTAACACAGAGAACAGTCCATAGAGGAAATTTATATCATTTAGTTAGACTTACAAATCAATAATTTAAGAGCATTAAAATAACCACAACAATATATTTTTAACATGAATTAGATTAAAATATTTATCTCTCATAATGAGATTCTTTTTAAGTTACAATATGGAGAAGCTGTCAAATGAAAGGAAACAACCCTATTTTAAATAGACCTCTCCCCATTACCTTAGAAGATGAAGAATCACACTCCTGACATATCCATCCATAGCCTGTTTGTTTAGGGGACTTTTTCAAAGGAGGATCCAAGCAGCCAAAGTGGTAGCAGAGTCTGCATTCATCACACCTGCAGGGTAAACAGACTTATGGTATATCTAAATAATATAAGAACAATCTATTTGAAAGACAAAAACTACTGTACATTTCAATTAACACTGTTAATTCTATCCTTTGCTCACAATATTAAATTAGTATTTATGACAAAAACAACTTTAACCTGAAATAAATGTTTTATAAATAAAGCAACAATAATACAATTCACAAACAAGATTTGAAACATTCTGATAGTAGAAACACTAAGAGCATATAAATGAATGCATGTGTATAATCATGTGCTCAAAGCTAATCACAATAATTTCAGTTTTGAATGTAAAGAATTAATCATTTGTCTATTAGTATAAAATATTTGATACATATAACTCAATGATTATGAATTCAATCCAATACATTGTACTTATTTTTAAAATTTCAGAACTCTACAGAATTCTACTAGGCTACAATCAATGCTAGCCAAATTGTCTCATTTGTCTCTTTTTCCAAATGATGGTAGACTGCAGATGAACTTTCTAATGTTTATAGCATGCCAACACAATCTACAGCAAATAAAAGCAATTTTTACATGTGAAATAACAATACTTAAATGTACAAAATGATAAGGAATCAGAATATTATTCTCTCAAAATTATCGGTGACTTTCAGTGGATTTGGTTTTTCAAAGTACCTCCTAGTACACTGCAAAACTTGTAATGTTTTGATAGTGTCTTGCCACCTACAATGTACAAAATCTAAGAAAACTACCATACCTATTCTTCGTTTCAGACAATCTCATCCTGCTGACAATGAAGAAAAATGTGTATTATTTCAGTGTTTTATAAAAGAATTTTGCATCAATTGGAATAACAAGACCAAAATTTAACATATAACAGAGATGTACTGATCTTATAGAATGAATTATAATCCTCATTTTCTTTGTGCTTTTCATTCAAAGATAATAATTTCTCAACCAATCTGTCAGATTCTCTTTATTGTTTACCTCTTACAGATTTAAAACTCAGAAGTCTAAAACTGTGAAACCAAGGGAAAAATTTAGAAAATACGTGTTACTTGAATAATTACTACTAAATAACCTTTATTAGGAAAATAGCAGCTATTCTTAAATACCACACAATTGACTTTCAAGAAATCATCACAATAAAGTAACCTATAAATCGATAATTTCAGTAAAAATTTCATATCATGATGTAAAAAATCAATCACTCGAAGACCCATTTGGGAATCAAGAGTTTCAGGAAAGTTAAAGAACTTAGCTAAGTTATTCAGATCTAATGAAATTTAAAACAGTTATATGTCACCAATTTGTTCCTTTTTTCAATAATTTATTCTTTATAGATAAAGTGTACAGATTTCAAACTTTTTAGACTCAAGAAATAAACTTAAAATGTTTATTATAATTCTAGCTATAGAAATAAAATCAAATACCACTAAGGACTTTATTTACTAAAGCCAGTATTTCACACAAACCACGAAAAGAACATTTAAAGGTAAAGTGTTCAATAACTGTTGTTCTAGCATTAAGGAAAAAAAGATGTTATGTAGATAACTTGAAATATGAAGGAGAACAAATGGCAAGGTTACACAAATTCATGTTCTTTCTCTACAGAACTTATTTACCTTTCAATAAAGATTTCAATTACGTTAAACACATAGGTATAAAAGTGTATGCATTTCTGAGTTTATGGGAAGGTTCAGATTTCTAGATTGCTGAGAGTTTACTGTTTCAAGCGTGAAAGTAATACTTCAATGATACCTGACAGAAAATTTAAATGATGAAACGAATGTATTAAATATAGTTTATCTTTGTCATGTTAGGGTCATCAGTATGAATTATAGATGCTGCAACATATCTGTGTCAGCCTTTGGTATCTGAAGTGAATACTGTTAGTTTGCTGTTTTGTTTCAGTTTTGTTTTTTTTTTGGTACCAGGGATCAAACTTGGGACCTTTTGCTTGCGAGGCAGGCGGCGGAACCACTGAGGTAACTCCCCAGCCCTATTTTGTTTCAATTCTTATATTCAACTTTTCCTAGGTCTTCAGGATTTTCACTTGCATGAAAACTATCAGACCACTTCCTGATACTGTCACTATTATTTGTTTAAGCATAATTTTCCCAACAACAACTTATTGTGAGTTCAGAAACCAGACCATGAAAACTATTAATACTATGCAAACTGACAATGAAAAAACATGAAAATGACAACTTGTACTGAGTTATGCAGATGGACTAAATTTCAGTTGTTAACTACAGTTTATGCTCTGTATCATTCAGATTGCTGATAATCCTAGCTCTTGACAAGAGAAGAGTTACAACTAAATTGTTGCATATTTACCTTATAACTTTGTGTGATAATTTATGATTTATTAAATCTAGTATATTACTCATGGAAAACATTGTGATGAATGTGCAAGTTAATCATAATTCGTTATCACTTTGATTTACGTTGGTGATTTTTGTTGGTATGGTTATAAACTCCCACCTAATAAATTAAGAACAAGTTTGTTACACTTATTTCATTCCAATCTGTTACTGTTTTCAATTACTTTTAAAATCAAGTTATCTTTCATTCAAGTCAAGAAATAGCGAAAAGGGGGTAAAGAAAAGTTTTATATGCTAGCTCTGTTAGAAGATAATTTAAAGTGCATGTTATGTGAAAATAATCTAATCCTTACTGATTCCTTCATAAATATATCTTTCAGAATGATTCAGTTGACATGTATTTTTCGTGGATCCAGAGAAATGAGGGTGATAAAAAAAATTTCTCTAAAGTTCTGAATCACTCTTCAGTAAGTAAAACTGCAACACCAAGAATAACAAAAACGAATGGTTAATAATCTATCAACTCCCAAACTCCAACAAAAAAAAAATAAAAAATAAATAACACAACCTTGAAGTCATTTTGTTAGTAAGCAAAAAAAAAAAAATACAAATATTAAGCTGCTTCTAGAGATTTCTAAAATTATTTCCATGTGGGAAAAATCTACTTGTTTCTACACTTGAATACCAAAGTGAAAAAAAGTCCACAGCTTTGTGTGCTGGAAATAATACTATTCTGAATGACAGAAGTCAACTCTAACAGAATTTGCAAAAATTAATATACCACAGAAACCTAAGAGATACCACTGAGGAGCCTCAAAATCAAACAACAGTGTAGATGATCAAAACTGGAGTATTTGGTTTATTTCACCTGCACACACAACATTCTGTAATCTTTGTCAAATCTTGGTAATCAACAGATTCTATGTTGCAATTAGATCACTTTAAAATCCTGAAAACCAGAGCTCTCATATGAATGTATAATCATCTACTACCTAGAAACATTAACTAATCAAGTAGGTCAATTGATCAATTTTATTTATGATCTCTATCTCTGTATCTAACATACACTTGTAAACACATTAATTGCAGCACACACTACAGCATATATTTAATCAAAAACATGATCAAAATGTTTTTGTAAAGCTTGCAAAAAGAATCACTGACCCACAAAAGTATAATGATATAGCACAATAGTTTATTAAATAACACAAGTGGCTAATAAAAACAATTATACCAGTAGCACATTATAAAATAAGACAGCAATGTCTTAAAATATTAAAATATAAAACTAACCTACAAATAAACATTGAATTTTTAAAATAAAATTCAGACCGGACACCTAAAAAAGTATCTTTAAAGACTAATATACATTGTGCACATTAACACTATAGTGCATTGTGACATTTAAATTTTAAACAAGACAAATGAAAATCATTTGGAAGATAAAATGAAACCTGATTGCTTAATTAGATTTTTCTTAAATACAACTTCCTAGATACTGGTTTTATACTGGATACAGATACAAATTAATAAAGCAACTTTATATGGTCTTTTACACACTTAACAAAATGCAGTGACTGAATAAACACAGTTCTATATGTATTTAAAATACTTACTTAGCACATAATTAAGTACAGCATCCTAGACAAGGAAGAAAATGATTTCTCTTCGTATGTGCTATGATCCACATTACAAGCAATCACTTTAGTGTTTATTGACTACTGACAATATGCAAACAAGTAAAAAGCAACAACTGATTTATATTTCCTCCTGTGCCTAAGATATAGGCTAATAATGTTCTAAAGAGTTTCTTTAATTCTCTTAATTTCTGATTGACAAGTCCATTAGGGGCTAAACGAAGGACTTTTCACAAACTAATTGAAACAATTAAGCACATCTCCTACACAAATAATTTATAGCCAGATGAGAAGCTAAATTTCAGGAAGAAGCAAAATCCATGGTATATACTTAAAAAAGGATGTACCTTTTCTTTTATTAAGTTGATCTTTATAACCATTTTTAAGTCAATGATACTTTACTTCGATCCCCTCAAAGTCTATATAAATTAAAATAAAGAACTGTCTGAAAATATATACTATTACACCTGTGCACTTTTGTAAAAATCAAGAGAATTGATAGATTGTATTCTTGGCTTTTTTTGTCATTTCTATACAAAAATTCCTACCAGCAAAATAAAAAAGTCAGTCTTTAACGTTAGTATTACTTAAATAAAAACCTCAGTAGCAGCTCAAACACTTAATAAAAATCTAAGGACCAATAGTGACAGATTATTTTATTCAACAGTGGCTAGCTATTTCAGCTAAACATCTTAATAGATGGAGTAAATAAGGACTGTGACCCTTTAGTTAAACCACTTTTAAAATAATACAAGCTTGCACAAAATTCTGTATTCTACCAATATTAAATAACATTTCACACCAATAAATACAATATTTTTATTCCTTTCAATTTACAACAATTAGTGCAAATCACCTACATGAGCAATTTTATACAAAATAATTACACATTGTCTTTTAAATTGTATTTCACAAATAGAATAATGGAGGACATGAATCTATTTCATTAATGTCACTATAAACTCCTATAACAGGCAATAATGAGTGAATGGCTAGAGAAAAAACTAAAAAATATATTTACATGTAAATGTATACTGATTGAAAATTATTTGGAAAA